AGAAGATATTTTCCAAAAAATAGATGAAGGGGAAAATAAAATAAACAAGTAATATAAAAAAAAAATGTAAGTCAATTCCTACTTAGATCAACAAAGAAAAATTTTATTTTAGCTACTTTTTATTAAATAGTTACAGTTAATATAAATATGTATATACATGAAACAGAATCACAACATTAAGTGGTCATTAATTTCTATTAATTATCATTAAAGTATCGTATTGTCATCCAAAACAATCGTGTATATAAAATTTCAGTTCAAATGAATGCCTTAAAATGTAAAAAAAAACCTTTTCAAGTTTTGACACAAGTCGTCAAAAGGGTCACTAAGTCACTAAAAATGATGCCAACGTGGCTGTATTTGTAATTCTTTAATAATAATTATTTAATAATATTTATTAAATTATTGTATTGTCATCCAAAATATTCATGTATATAAAATTTGCTAAATTGAGTTTTTAAATTTTTAATTTGATTTAAAAGGAAAAAAAAAAATAAATAAATATAAGAGTGTGAGCTAATAGTAGAATTTGGGAAAATCAGTTTTTATGTTAACGCCACCACAAAAAAGGAATGTTTTTTTAGGTATTTGAGTTTTGTTACGGTAAAAAGCCAAAGTAATTTTTGTCAAATTGAAACAGCATTTTAATGCTTTTTAACAATTACTGCGATGAGAAGACACGTACTATATAGTTACTAGAAAGAATATGAAGTATATTTTACAGCTTCTTTAGTATTTTTTTTAAAAAAAAAAAAAGCTACTGTCGTTCAGGTCAAAAAAAACGGAATACAAAAAAACTGCTTTATAATCTTGGTTGTTCTTTTGGGAAAAAATAATTGCAACCCCGGTTGTTTTTATCCCACTTGATCAACATAAACACTTAGATCAAGTCCATGAACCTGTGCGTTTTTAAAAAATGAAGAACTGTAGCAGGACTTGAAAGCAGCTGATCCTTATCGCCAAGATGTGGACAGGAGCAGCTTGGGTCACGATTCGGATAGGGGGGAAACCTTTAAAACCCTTCAGAGTTCAGTTTTTAGTATGTTCACTGCAAAGTTTGGTGTGAGTGAATATTAACGTCCACTGTTTAACACGGGGGTTTTTGGGGACGGACCACGTAATTTTTAACCATGATCAAGTGACGTGAACACACCCGACGTACCAGATTCATCCCATTAAAAATATTCTTGTTTGTTGCTCAATTAATTTATGTATTTTTTAAATTTTAAAATTTAAATTTAAAATGTTTTTTTTTAATATACTTCACTACAGTTAAAAAAATTTTTAAACTTTTAAAGTAAGTAGCAGTTTTAAAGCTTCAAAAAAAATTTGGGATCAAGCAAAAAATTTTAAATTTTTTTAAAGGGGGCTATCCAAAAAACGAAAAAATTGAAGGTTTAGTGTCTGGAAGGAAAAAGACAAAAAATTTCATTCATTTTACATTGGTTTTTTTCTTTTTAAAAGGAGAATGTAAATATCATTTTTGTATTCACATCACAACACAAAATATATATATTTATATATATATATAATATATATATTATATTAATATATATATATATATATATAAATATATATATATATATATATATATATATTTGGATCAACTTCATAATGCGAAACCTTGATTGGTCCTCTAGATGAGCATTTCTGGTAGTGTTACAATGTTGCACTACATGAAGTTCTAACATTTGAAATGTACCATTGGCTATTCTCACAAGCAGTCATTGAAACATACATACATTGATGTCGTTCTTTATTCAATTCCATTGATTTACAAACTGTTGTAATCTTTATTATTAAATATTAATAAATACAAAAGTGCTAGCTTTTATGAAGGCTGCACAAGAAACTCACAGAGGCCTAATGAGGTCTCAAGGTCGCGGATTCCCCACCTCTGCCATAGAACATCTTTTTCTCACAGGTAGGTGTCAATCAATAATAATTTTTTTTCTCTATATAATAGTGATTCACCTTAATAATCATGTTCCTCATCTCTCATTAATATTTGAGATTAGTACAGGAACCCTAGCAACAAGCAGATATTTCGATAATTGTTTAATGATAGTTTTCAGGTAGCACGCGAATATACTATTCCTCTCTAAAATAGTTACGAAAGCTGAATAAAATCGACAATAACTTCTAGACAAGACAATGTTTATTTTTAACATTTTTGTGCAATAAACCACTCAATCTCAACGACGAAGAAAATCCGCCACATTCTTCAAGAGTTATGATTTTCCTGGAAAACGAAATACCTCGATAATATTTACGTCTCATGGGTATCTGGTCTTAAATATTCACTATGAGAATTATAACGCGTGAATGATTTCCCTCGGGTTCCCAAAGACGCATGCAAAATATTTGTACTTCGTAAAGTGGATGCTTCGTAGTGAATAATCCACTAAGTGATGGAACTAGACAAACTTAAATGAATAAGGAATTTTTAGTATTTATTATCTGAAATTTTTTGTAAATAATTGAATGAGATATATTTGATTGAAACTTCCATAAAGTGAAATTTGAATACAAAACTCAAGTATTTTTCATTCCTACTATTATTTCACACTCTCCCTATATATATATACTCAAACTCAGTCGCACAATAGCCCATGAGGGACAGGGTCTACTGTGCCCCTCCAAATATACGTGAACATTGGACGCTGAGGTGCATGAGCAGATGTCCCGATCAGGTGGTCGGTCTGAAGTAAGATCCCCAGTGTTTTAGTTCTCAAGCAAGCATGGTACTTATTTATCGACCCACTGCAGTCGGGATGAAAGGCTAAGTAGACCTTGACCAGCTCGGGGATAGAACCCAGACCTGTGGTGTGGAAGCGCGATACGCTACCACTCGACTATTGGGCTTTATATATAACATATTATTATATATATATATATATATATATATATATATATATATATATATATATATATATACTACTTATATATACTATATATATATATATATATGTATATATATATATATATATATATATATATATTATTATATATATATATACACTGCTACCACCGTAAATGCAACACCAAGAAAGACAAGAATAGCAGCAACAAAATTTATTCTGTAGATAACATGATTTGACCAAGTATCACAAATGATTAAATTTATAGACTTCTGTGAATTGTGGTTCCTGCCAGAATCAGTAACCAGAGTAGCCGCCATTGTTGGAGATCACAGCTGTCACACGCCTCGGAATTGATTCAAAGAGACTTTGGATGTGTTCTTGGAGTACAGCAGACCAAGCAGCTTCCACACGTTGCCAAAGTTAATTTGGTGTGGCAGCTGGGGGTGTAATCTGGGTCAATCGTTGAGCAACCATGGGCCGCATGTTTTCTATCGGCGAAAGATCCGGAGAGCGAGCCGGCCAGGGAAGCAATTCAATCTCATGTTTGACGAAGAACCTTCGGACAATGCGTGCCACGTGTGGTCACGCATTATCCTGTTGAAATATGGCTGTGGCCAAGCCCTGAAGGTAAGGAAGGACAACTGGCTCGAACACCTCGGAGATGTAGCGCTGGCTATTTAAAGTACCGGCAATGCGTACTAGAGGAGTGCGAGAGTTATATGCAATACCGCCCCATACCATAATAACCGGTGCAGGACCAGTATGGCGGTGCATAAAGCAGCTGTTCAGCATTCTCTCTCCACGGTGTCTACAGACTCGAATCCGACCATCGTGGTGTTGCTGGCAGATGCGTGTCTCGTCAGTAAAGACATTTTCATTCCATTCTGCAGCCTACATCCTTCTTTCATCGCACCATTGGCGGCGGAGACGTCTGTGGTTCTGCATCAAGGGTAGACCAAGCAATGGACGTCTTGCGGACAGACCACTCTGCTGTAAATGGCGTCGAATGGTACGCGCAGACTCTGAATGATGCGTTACAGACTCAATGTGCTGTGCTATGGTTCGTGAAGTGACTGACCGATCCATCACTGCCATGCGCACAATTTGCCTGTCCTCACGTGAAATGGTGCACTGAGGTGGATGCGATCGACCACGTCTGTCCGTCGTACCCTTCTGCATTCAACAGTCACATATCCGCATCACAGTTGTTTGGTTTCATCCAACACGACTACCGATTTCCCTGAAAGATAATCCACAATCTCGGTAGGCCACAATCCTTCCTCTGTTGAACTCGGATACTTGATCAAAAGCTGATCACTGTTTTCTGCGAGACATAACTTATCGTTTTTTGAAAAAATCACAAGAAAAACACAAATGCCGAACTTGAAATCGTCGAAATCTCCAAGTCTTAAATAGAGCTTTGAGGTGGCGCCACAGGCGCGCGTGATGTGTGTCTGCGCTGAAATTCTAATCATTTGCATATCTCACCGCAGCTAATGCATGTTGTAAATTCCATGTTATTTGCATGCTTTCTTCAGGGTGTTGCATTTACGGTGGCCAGCAGTGTATATATATATACATACAGATTGCTACAGAACCAATGTATAACTATTCAAGATAGGAAAGATTAGGCACAGTAGTACTAACAAACTCCTGGCCTTAGGAGAACTAAGATTGTAGGTTTAAACAAGTTTAAGAGCTAGCCAACCTTCACCTGTAATTTGTCTATACAATGTGCCAAGGAGAAAGGAAAGAATAATATTAGAAAAAATTTAAATATTACAAATAAAATCACTATAATATTAAAATTATAGCCTACTAGTATTCACAGTATGAAGCCGATGCAGTAAGGTAAATAGTAAGACTTACTTCGTAGTATATCAACAAGTTGTGTTTTCCACCTAATACAACAGAGGAATAATAGCTCTCTGTGTATACATGTATTTATGGATTATACATACTTTTATATTTGTGGCTGCATTGCACTTAAATATAGAAGAATTTTATGAATGACACTTGATATTAATACAGTTTTTTTAGATATTAATTCATTTATTGAATTTAATTAATGAATAAATAGTAACAAACGAAAATAATAGTCCAACACCACATATAAAAAGGAAAATCACTCGCTGTGTCCCTGTAGCACAATGGATAGCGCGTTGGACTTCTAATCCAAATGGAGTGGGTTTGAATCCCATCTGGGCTGGCCTAATTTCTGAGAATGTGATTTCTTTTAACTATATTATTTTATTTTGATAGTTAAATTTAATTAATGGATAAATAGTAACACTCAAAAATAGTCCAACACCATATATAAAAAGGAAAAAAGAAAATTTCAAGCAAAATTCTAGTTCATTTTATCTTGTATATAAAATGAACTAAAGATACCACACACACCACACACACATCCCAACATAAAATTTAATACCATCAATAAATTCACGTGTAAAAATAAATACAAAACGATTTTTAATTTTTAACATAGAAAGGAAAGAAAAATCCCAAATTTGTTACATGAGAAAAAATACAAATCAGAAATATTGGGGTTTTTGTAGTTAGGTGTTACCGATACAAGCAAAAGAAGAAATATTGAATACGAATATCATTAAATAAATGAATCAATCAAGTGTGGAATATATTTACACTTAATTCATAATTTCAAAAAGATTGAAGAAAGAAGAATATGTGTACTGATATTTAGACTGTTTTTAGAGTAATTCGTATAATGAGATGCATGTATATAATTTGTTACATATAGATAGTTTAAATGTATTATCTACAAATTTAAATCAGAGTCAACTATATTCATTTTGCGTGATTGTCTTCTGCTATAAGAATGTAAAATTGAATGCAAATAAACTAAACTTTCAAAAGAAAAAAGTTTAATGAAGAAATTAATAAAAGATGTGATTTTTAACCATCTGCATTGATGGTAATAATATAAAATAAGAGAAGAAATTCCACCATTCAAAGATGTTGGTTTCTAAATAAATTCTTTCTGATCAAAATCGTGAATTTCTTTCTCGTTTCTCTGAAAAAATTTACGAATGTGATTTTTTCATACTAATTTCTAGTTCCTTCTCAAATACATCTTTAGCCCTTTTTTCTTCTAGATTCATTACTTTTTTTTTGTAAGCAAGATGAGAAATCTAAATACATTTTATGAAAAATTAAACTTCTTGAAAAAATATACTAAACAATTTTAATACAGAAATTATGGTTTTGAATCGAGAATCTTTTTAATATTTAACTTTTACTTTTGGGTATATATTACTATTAAGAATCAATAAGGAACCAAAAAAACGAGCTTAAAAATGTTTGAAATATAACTATATTCTCATTTTAAATTTGTATGAAACAAACTGGTACGTATTTATTTTACCTTTCAGCATTAATGAACTAATTAAAAAAAATATTTTACCTCCAAATATCGATCTCCTTTTTGTACATTTAAAATTTATTTAAAGTATTGCCGGACGATGAAAATTATAACAAAGAATAAAAAATTGGAAGAAACAAAATCTTTGCTTGACAAAAGAAATTAGTGCTCCAAAAATTTGATTTTACTAAAGTACCATAGTACTTTTTTAAGTTCTGAAATGTCTAACATGTTAAAGTGAAATATTTCATTAGGTTATTATAAATTATATTATTTAGCATTCAAATAACATAAAACAAACTATTTTCGAACTATTTTACCATATAATGGAACGTTGTATGGTAAAAACCATCCAACAAATTTTAAACGTTTAAGAAAATAACCTTGATATATTTGTATTTAAAAATAAGACACTGTGCTTTTAAAGTCGTACTACTTGAAACTTACTTGTAATAGAATATTTTATTGTTAATATTTTTTAAAAAATAATTTTTCATAGACATTGGTTAAAAGGAAAATTAAAGCTGTCTTAAATCTTAATTGTGTGTGATAATTAGCAAAGGATTTTCTTGTAGTAATATAATTATTTAAAAAAACCACCTTGAGAAATTTTTAAAAATGTTTAGCAAAATTTTCAACACGTTGAAATTATTCACGTACATATATATATATATTTAAACTATGAATTTTAATTGAATTCAGAATCTTTACAAAAGAAAAATATTTTATTGATGTACAGACTTTTGAAAAACATTTAGTTTGATATTGTAAGGTTTTGTTTGAGTGTACAAATAATAAACATAACTTTTCTTTTTTTTTCCTTTAACATAATAGAAGTACATATTATCTAATATATTTGTAATAGTTATTGTTTTCAATTATATTTAAGAAGTTCAAATAAAACGGCTATGAAAGAATTGTAAATAAATGGCAGGATATATTGTACATAATGAATGAACAGGAATGAATTGGGAAAAAGAAATTTAATCGCAAGGAGATTGAAATTATAAATATCTGGCTCTAATTAATGAATGCCAAAATTTTACTATGATTTTTCTGATTTCAATCCTAAAATATATTCAGTGAAAACTGAAACACTTTTCTTCGAAGATTTCAAAAAGAAAATTTGAAGTTCATGAAACAGAAAAACCGATAGCAATGCTTGCTGAGCCCCTCAGACCAACCTGATTATGTTCGAAACGACTTTTTTATGTTCCAATATTACAGTTAAGGCAGACGATTTACCATTCTGAGATAGCTTTGAGAATGAAGACCGGATGGAAGGAAATATAAACTGCCAGATCCAGAATGGCAACGATTGGCCGTCGTTTGCCCATTTTAAGGATGTGTACTGTTAGAAGTTTTATAAAGAAAAATAACATACTTCTGGCAAACGGGATTCCGAAAATGTTTCTTTCCCAGTTATTCATTTTTATCTATCGATAAATAATCAAGAAGAGTGATAATTTTTAGTTGTCCAAATGACTTCAAAACAGAAACAATAAAATAAAAATTATTTCCATTCTATTTTACTCACAGTTGAATTCTTAGAATTCTATAGTCAACTTCCCTCATTTTGAAGGCTACATAAATTTTAAGTTAAATCTCAAGAACTTCATTATCTGTTCCAGTCATCTTCAAACCTTTTCGACTCACGGAACCCTTAGAGTTATAAGATATTTTCAGGAAATCCCATCTCCCCACACACACGCACCCTTCGAAAAATATGTCTTAAAATATTTAAAATAGGGTAATTTGTATAAGACAATTTTAAAATAAAAGTATTGTAATTGTTATAAACAAGTAATATATAAAAAAAAAATTTTTAAGACAATTCCTACTTAGATAAACAAAGAAAAATTTTATTTGAGCTACTTTTTATTAAATAGTTACAATTAATATAAATATGTATATACATAGGACAGAATCACAACATTAAGTGGTGATTAATTTTATTAATTATCATTAAAGTATCGTATTGTCATCCAAAACAATCGTGTATATCAAATTTCAGTCCACAACTGAATGCTTTAAAACGTGAGAAAAAAACTTTTTCAAGTTTAGAAACAAGTTGCCAAAAGGGTCGCTAAGTCGCCAAAAATGATGCCAATGTAGGTTGTATTTGTAATTCTTTACATAATTAGTTTTAATTAATTAGTTTTTATTAATTATTATTATATTAATGTATTGTCATCTCCAAAATAATCCTGTATATAAAATTTCAGCTCAATTGAGAGCTTTAAAATGTATTTTATTAACGATTGAAAATTCCACAAAGATAAATAAATAAATATATAAATAAATATATAGATATTGTGAGCTAATAGTAGGAATTGAACAAAATAACGTTGTTTGGAATCGAATTGTCAATTAAGCATGTATTATATTTGTAACTGGGATATGTGCTTGCACATTTTTTACACAAACAGTCGAAGTCTAAGTTTATTGAAATTATCTGCAGTCGCATTTCACATTCTGCATTTAATTTGGTTTTATATTCCAATTTTGAAGCTATGCCCATTGAAAAATATTTTTCACTTAAATACATTGTTCTAAATGGCATTAAAATGTTTAAGCTGTGGGAGAAATAATCTGTATCTTACACGAAAGAGAGAAAATTTGCTACCTAAAATTTAGGAGCTGTACTTTCTTAAATTAAGATTTTAACTTCGGATCTCTTGATGTGTCGATAAATTATTCCCTCTTCTTCATTATAAGACTTTTACCACAAATGAAAAAGTACATTTTTCATTAGAAAATTGACTATTCAGTTGTACAGAACATTGTACTGACGAGTATAAAATTGTTTCATTGGATCCGGGATAGTACACATTAGATTATTCACAATCTAATATTTAGTGCGCGTACAGAAAAACGCTTTAATGTTCTTTTATTAACATTATAATAAAAGTTAAAATAGTATTGTATAAAATAAAGTGTCTCATGTATAAATATAATTTACAGTTTTAATGGTGGTGACGAGCATTAATACTTGTAGTTATACAAAACTTCTAAAAACCGGGCCCCTTTTTCGGAAAATTTATAATTTTTTTTTTGGTTTTTTTTTTGACTTGTGGAACCCGGGGAAGCCTAGTGGAACCCCAGGAATTGGCACAATTTGAAGCCCATGGTATTGATTAAATTTTTCTACAAAAAATATTTTATATAATAATATATATCATATTACCCCCCCAAAAATGACATATTCTAATATTCGTCATTTAAATAATTGTGGCGCAAATATATTCTTCAATGCATTTCATTCTGCGTCAAAAAAAATGGGCATTCTTTTGCAAAAAAAAGAAGGAGAAAATTTTAAAGTCTGGCTCCTAACAAGCCTCTTAATCCGGGATTATGACTCAAGGGATCGAACGCTTGTCTTGCAGCCATGCATTGTCGAGAGGCTCTTTACTTAAATATTTATCGCTCCATTCTCAAATTGTGATTAAGCTTTCTTATAAGAAACGTGTCAAAACTAGGAATGTATATCGGTATATTTAAATTAACGTATCGTTTTTGAAATGAAGTATAATAATGTAATCTTCAAAAATTTTTTAATTGGTTAAAATCAAATTTCCCGTTTTTTTTTAAAAAAATTTTCACTAAACGTCTTTTGTAATCGTAAGTAAATGAAGTCTGTTGTGAAATCTAGATTTGTAGACAGGAGTATAAATTATGGATGATATGTACGAATTAAAAAATTGATGTATCTGAATAAACCTTGAATAATAAAATTCAAAACTTCCTTTTGTCATATTTATCTTAGTTTGTGGAAAGAAAAATTAACTTTGTGATAGTTATATGCCGTAAATAAGCGGTTTTAATAC